ACAGCGACTACCCCCCACGCTGTCCCCCGTACAGCCGAGTCTACCACAGCGTCTCAGCAACCGACCCCGAACCCTACCCAGCCACTGCCTACTCCAGAACCTACCAATACAGACACCCAGACACAAGCCGAGAAAGAGCCCCATGCCGCTCCACAGTCTTCCACAGACCGGGGTCTCACTACCCAATACTTGGAAGATGCGGGCGAGGGCGGCAGGTCACCCAAGCGGCGTCGTATAGAACCACCCGTACAATTAGGCACCCCAGCGAGTCAAGATGTCGCTGCAAGTGGAGGAGATATTGCAGGTCCGTCAGAGTCGGTACAACAAGAGAATGGAGTAGCTGCACAACCACAGCCAGTGGTCGAAGCTACGGCCGCTGTCGATGCGCCAGTACCAGCGAACAACGCCGGCGAACAGACTGCCGACCCGAATGTCTCCACCCCTACTGCAGATGCCCAGGCCCTTCCACAACCGCGAAAGAGAAGGAAGCTTCCATGGGCAGCGGTGAACCACCCTCCAGAGGGCGAAGAAGAGGCTGCGGCTGCGGCGCCGACTCGAAAGCCTCGCCAGCCACGCAAGAAGAAGGCCGCTGCAGCAGATCCAGATGCAGAACACGTTGAACAAGAAGGGGAAGACGAAGAAGAGGCTCAGCCCACCCGGAAACGAGCTGCCGCCAAGCCCCGCGCAAGAAAGAAGGCCACCGAACCCGCTACACAAGATGGCGAGGAAGCTCCAGCGCCAGCGAAGAAACCCAGGAAGCCAAGAAAGACCAAGGGGGCTCTGAGCAGCGAGGTCGTCGAAGGCCCAGAAAATGAAGTCGGCCGCATAGCAGATGAGATTGTAGCAGCAGCCGTGCGTCGCAAGCCCAAAGCAAAGAGGAGGAGAAGGGTCACTCCAGAGGGCGAAGAAGGCGAAGAGGTCGATGGAGTTGAAGGCGAAGAAGGCGCAGTCAGGGAGAAGAAACGGAAGGGGAGACCGCCACGAGAGCCCACACCATCCGATGCCGAAGACCAGACGATCGACCCCAATGAAACCTATATGGATACTCTAGCAGCCCGGGATCTTCGCGTTGGAAAGCTGTCTTCACGGGAAAAGCAAATGCGTACCATCGATTGGGATGCCGTTAAGCAACGTCGAAGAGAAGAAGACAACAAGAACATCCCTTCGAAAGCAGATCAAGAAAAACAGGACAGACTTTTGGCAGAAGCAGGAGCAGAGCTGGCGGCTTCACAGGTTGAACCGGGACCCAGGTTTCGTGTGAACGCAGCAGGCGAGATGGAAATGGATCCCACCACTGTATTTATCGATCGAGAGGGCGACGCAGACCGTCTCATTAGCGACATGACCGTCGTTGAAGACCAAGACATCACCGCACGCCTCACAACCCGCAGCTTCATGAAGAACAACAAGCGCTTCCCCAACGAGTTCCTCCTGCCCGGCCAAGGACGACGTTGGACCACGGACCTCACGAACCTGTTCTACGAGGGCCTCAGGTCCTTCGGCACCGATTTCCAAATGATATCCCAAATGTTCCCCGGCTTCACCCGCCGCTCCATCAAAACCAAATTCACTCGCGAAGAACGCGACAACCCCGACGACATCCGCGCCGCTCTCCAAGGCCGCTGCGAGATCAACGGCGATGGCTGGAATACGTTCCTACAGAAATCGGAAAAGACCGAGGCCTCTTTCGCCGACACGGACAGGATCAAGCGCGAAATGGCGGCAGAGGAAGCAGAGTATGCGGAGAAGATTGCCAAGGCAAAAGCGGAAGCACAGGAGAGGAAACGCCAGAGAGAACTTGCGGGTGTTGATCAGGATGGGAATCCGATTGGTGATGGGTCGAATAAGGAGAATGGGAAGGGCAAGAAGAAGAGGGGGAAGAATAAGCAGGTTGCTTTTCAGGAGGAGCAGGGCGTGGAGATTGTGGGCGAGATTGGGGATGATGATACTTGGGGGCAGGAGTAGTGGGCGATGTGTGATACGGTCGTGGCAATGATTGATGGATATGATACCCTTTAGATTCTACGGCCTCTGAGAGCAGAGAAATAGAACAATTGATGCATGATGATGCATGTCGTCAAGTAGGAGTGAAAGCGTCTCGTGGAGTGATGACAGCTTTGTCTGTGGGTTTTACGAATTATCCGTCAAGCGCCTATTACCGTGTAAACTACTGCGTTACCACTACCGCGTTGTGGACTCTGCTTCGACATCGACTCCAGTCTCTCATCAAGAACACCAAGAATTCGTCCAGCGCTGCTGAAATTATATTATCGGTGATGTGTTCTTGCTGTCCTGTTGTAGTCTTAGTGATGCTGCATGTGATTTTTGAAGGGTGCGACAGGAATGCCCTCCTTCGTTTCCAGAATACTGACATAAAGCTTTTAAGGTCAAATGCGCGCTTTCCTACGATGTGCATGAGGCTGACTGTTGCTGCGCATGACGTTCGTGGCTGCCTGGTCATGTTTACACAGCCCCCTCGGTTCCTTCCTCACTCAACACTTGTTGTTGTCCTCTTTTCTTCCTCCATCTCACTGTCGGCAACTTTGCAGTCATCATCTTTGCGCCTGCCAAATCATACTGTCTGGCATCAACATACGCCATGCTGTGCCACTTCTGTCAAAACCTCGTTTTTGTACCCGTCAAGGAAGTCAGTGTGCAAGATGCCGATTGGTTAACAGACCAAAGCTTCGTCTACAATCCGGACACATGGCTTGTAAGCGTACATCAGTCTTCGAGGACAGCGTTAGAACTCTCAGCCGGCCGAGGATGTCGAGTGTGCGCCATGTTCTGGTTTCAACTATTCTACGACGCCGAGGCTGCTCATGTGCGTCACGATAACGACCTTGACGTTGCACCTATCCTACTCTCTATGGAGCAGCTTTCGTGGGGCGAGGATCCCGAAATGCCATTGCCTTTCTGGTCAGACATGAAGCTGCGCTGTGGAGAACGCTTGGCTTCACTCATGATACACAAGCCTGTCTCTGGTATAACATATGGACATGTGTGATGAGTCTAGCTAACATGGGGTGCAGATGACGTAAGCACTATGCTCGATCTCTCCTGCGTTCTCTCTTCACGCCCCGAAGAGCAATATACTACCATCGGTTCAGCAATCGACAACCACACCGGATCTGACCACAACATGGATTTGATAAAGACATGGATCAAACACTGTCAAAAGGAACATCAACACTGCAACACGAAAGATTCGTCGCAAACGCTACCATCACTACCCACCCGGGTGATCGAAATCGAAACTGATGGTCAAGCTCGTATCACAGAAACCAAGGGAATGAGAGCAGAATACCTAACTTTGAGTTACTGCTGGGGCCAGGGAAAGAGAATGCTGTCCACCCTAGGCACTGGTTCATATGAACAGTTCAGACAAATGTTGCCACTCGATGATACAATGCCCAAAACGTTTAGAGACGCTTTGCAGGTTACCAAGGCTCTTGGATACCGTTACTTATGGATAGATGCTCTGTGCATCGTACAGGATGATCTTGAAGATGTGGGGAAGCAAATGGCTAAGATGGGGGTCATATACCGACAGTCGACATTGACAATATTCGCAGCGAATGGTCCAGACACAGATTCAGGTCTTTTCTCTAAACGCGACGCCCGGGGCAGCAAATCCTGTAACGTTCGTATTACTCTAAAACAGAACAGCAACTTGATGCAAAAATGCATATCGATCCAGGTTTTTGGCCTAAATCGTGGCAGCGCTCTGCAAACAAGAGGATGGGTTCTTCAAGAGGAGGTGTTGTCGGGACGCTTACTGACTTTTGATACTAACGTAGTCAAATGGTCTTGCGTAACGACGTTCGCGCGCGAAAGCGTTCCGTGTATGTCAACGTTTGGTGATCAGGAAGAAGCCGTTAGAAACATGCGTTATCAAACCAACAACGCGATGCGGCTGATAGTAAGACGCCCAGACATCTTCAACAAGCTCCCGACTTCATTGTACGAAAACAGACGAAATAATCACTTCGATGTATGGAACGATATGGTTGCCCACTACACTCGGAGGGCTTTAAGTGTTGACTCCGATAAGCTGCTTGCAGTCGCAGGCTTGGCAAGTCTTATGGGAACACATTATCATCTCACCTATGTCACGGGGTTGTGGAAAGAAGATTTGCAAGTTGGGTTATGCTGGTGGGTTACTTCGCGGAATGACACGTTTCGCAGGGATGGATCAAGGTCAATTACCGAAGACTTCCCTGATTACCTTGCGCCGACTTGGTCCTGGGCCTCTGCACACGGTATGTGTGTTGAGTTCCTCAGGCCTCGCTTAGAGCGTCTTCCAGAAGAAGGACTACAGGTCGTCGATGTGGAAGTCTCGCATCTACCAGGGGCTCTCGCAACCTTCGGCTACATCAAATTCGCTAAACTGTCTGTATGTACCAAAATGCGGCGGATATTGCTGGCACCGTGTGAAGAAAAATCGAAGCTAGATGCCCGCCCTATGCTTCACGAAATTCATGCGTTCGACACACCGACGGGGTCCTACTTCGCAAGTGTCTCGGTCGATTCGGTGAAAGTCTATGAGGATATCTTGAAACGATATCCTGGTGACCGACTGCTCACAAAGATTGAGTCAGCTCCGAAAGGTCCTGCTAGTGAAACTGTTCGCACTCATCAACTCTCGCCCGATGGATATGAAGCTTGGTGCGTGCCCTGTCTTGTGCAGAAAGACAATAAGGGAAACCGCGAGATGATAATTCTCGTTTTGACTCCGCTCAACGCTGTTGCACGGGAGTATCGGAGGATTGGCACGATGTGGATCTCGACCGAAGCTTGCAACAGGTTCATGGCAGGCGAGGATTTGCATGAAGACCGTGAAATAATCCACATCCTCTGATCACGACAGACATATAAGACAATCATCGACACCGCTACTTTCATGTCAGATGCACAGTTCACACTCGGCACGAAAACTATTATCGGTGAAAGCTGGAAAGTCGTTCTATTTAATCGACTCGTACACAGCACCGATACTCCTACTCAGCCCACCCCGTCCTCGCCTTAATAGCATCCGCCGCCTTCTCCGCAATAGCATAAACCGTCGTACAAAGATGCGTCGCCGGCAAATACGGAGCAATACTCGCATCAACCACACTCAGCTTCCCAACGCCATAAACCTTCAGATCCGTACCCACGACACCACCAAGCTCTTCTGGAAGCATTGACGCCGTACCCGCCATATGAACGAACGTCGGATCCATCGTACTGCGCAGATACCTTTCGATCCCAGCATCGCTCGTAACATTGGCTCCAGGCGAGAGTTCAACTGCGCCGAGACCAGCGAAAGAGGAGAGAGTGTTGAAGCGGCGCGAGAAGCGCACCATTTGCACGGCGAATTTGATGTCCAGGGGGTTGGAGAAGGTGCGCCAGTCTACTAGTGGGCCTGAAGAAGGGTTGGCTGGATCGATGTTTACGGTGCCCCGACTCAAGGGGCGCATTATCGCAGCGTTTCCTATAGGCCCTTCTGCAAAGGTGAATTCGAAGGCTGCAGCGTCATCGCGTGCGATATATTCGGCGGTGATGTTGTGTATGGCTTTGGCACCCGCCATCAGCGTTTCATCGTATTGAACCGGGAGGTAGGGAGTTGGATCTTGAGCCGCGACAGCATCGACAAGGGCTTGCCAACCTTCTGGATCGACAGTCTTGAGGGGTAGGAAAGCAGCTTGGTTGCCCCGAGATGTCGTGAGAGGACCTTCGCGTGACTGGGTATACTCTTTCTCAGCTTCGGCGTAGAAGGTCTGGTTCGTTGCTAGGGCTCCAGCGGTGGGGAAGTATGGATTGGTCGTCCAGTTCCAGACACTGCCTCCAAAGGGATGGTCTTGGAAATTTGCACCTACACCAGGCAGATGCTTCTTGACTGCGATGCCAGCCCCCTCAAGGACACTCTTCGGACCGACCCCACTGCGCTGCAGCAGCCACGGAGTCCAAATCGCACCCGCAGCAACGATGACCTCCTTCCTCGCCCTCACAACATTCTTCTCAGTACCGCCCACCTTCACCATACTCACGCCCTCAGCCTCCAACTTACCACCCTCCTTAATCAAGATCTCAGTCGCTTGATATCCCGTCAAAAGATGATAATTCTCTCTCTTCGCATACGGTTCATAATGCGCCGTCCTTGCATAACTCCTCGTCCTCAACATCGGATCCAACGCACTCGGCGCCATAATAGACCCAATCGCATCTCCCGCCGCCGCTTCCTTCGGCTTCTCCACACCAATTTCCCTCCACGCATCCCACAGACGGTTTTGACCGGGAAACTGGTATGGCGGGAACGAAACTTGTATCTCACCGTGTCCGCCATACGCCGCATCAACGTCCCACGTGTAATTGTACTTCTCCGCTACCTCTTCACTCGGTGGCGTGAAGGTCACAGATTTCTTGAACTACGGAAGCAGGTCTTTGAAACCCCAGCCTTTGTTTCCGAGGGCTTCCCATGCATCATAGTCAGCGGCGCTGCCGCGGTCAAAGAACATGCCGTTTACGGCACTGCTGCCGCCGACTATAGCGGCTGCGAGCGGGCTCGTGGTGTCATTGTTGAGGCCGGCGTTGGGACGGGCGTGAAGTTGAAGTAGCGTTCGGGGGTTGGGGCGAAACTTAGGGTGTTGGCTGGGACGAGGATGCTGGGGTCGTTGACGAGGGCGCCGTATTCGATTACGAGGACGGTGTCTGTGTGGAATGTCAGAATGGAAGAGTGTGGGGTCGAAATGGGGGGTTGCGACTTACGCTTTCCGTTCTCTGTTAGTCTGTTTGCGACTGTGAGGCCGGATGTGCCACCTCCTACGATGATGTAGTCGTATGTTTGATTCAGCGGTGTGGTGAGGTGTATAGCAGAGACTCCTGCTGCCGCGAAAGTGCTAATGAGCACTTGAATGAATGAAGACACCATCTTGGCTACGATTTGATCTTGACCAATTCACCTCTTTTTCTCAGGCGAGGTCGTTTATGTACCCATCCAGACCTACATACCGACCCCGTTCCACAGCGCACACCAATCCATTTCAGCAAACCCATCTGCATCATGCACATCCAAATTATCCATACAAGCTCTAACCCCATTCCACCTCAGAAAGCAGAAGTCAGATAAACTTACAAGGCCTCAAAAGCCCCTCTAATGCATACCACACGGCCTATACCCACCGAACGCCGCTTCATCGCACCACCCCTACCTGACCCTATCTGACCTTACATAACTACTCATCCCTCACCTTCCACATCGGATCTACATCCGATCCTCCAGAACGATGAGCCGCCATCGCCCCACACCCGCAAGCGGACGGCAGAATTACCGCCCGTTCCAGAGCCGCGGAGTCTCCACAGTACATACATGCAAGAGCAGGGGGACTGAGGTAATTTACATTGAGGCGCGGAGGCGGGTAAATCAGTAAACGAGCCTCGCTTGTATGTATGTGAGATGGCGGATCTGTAGTCCGCGGAGGAAGGAACGTGTCGATAGAAGATGTCGATGGGTGTTTTGCTTGTCACGGATATCGGACCTGTGAAAGAGAATGTTCAAAATGTCTTCCACGTCCATTGACTAGCAGCGATCACTCAACATCTATACTCATATCCGCAAATCCTCGCTCTCTACCTCCTCTCCCCTTCTTTAGCATGATGATGTTACAAACAACGAAAAGTCGAAAGCTACCAGAAACAATGATAGCCAAAATACCATTCCAGCTACCAAGAAAACAAAACTCCCAAATGATGCAAATCTTCCGCTCATCCGTTTTTTCTGTAATGCGCTCGAGAACCAAGAAAGGTTTGCTTTCGTCCTCGGGGTATCGTAAAATGCCTTAAAGTACGCTCTGTATGGGCGGGGCGGGCAATATAACAAACAAGCAAAAAACGCCGCGCAATGCACAATTTCTCCCTCTTTGGTCCCAGATATCGAAGAATTACAATGAAATGAAAAAGAAGAAGAAAAGTGTGAAGTTGAGTTGTGTTCTTGAAAGATGTTGATGTTGATGAAGTTGTGTTGTTGGTTTCAAATGTCGTGTCCCCTTCCTCATCCACGCCAAACTCGTAAGTGCTGATGCTGAAATAGCAGGGCGCGTCTAACGTCTCCTCTTGGTATCTCCATGGGCTTGATCCTGGGGGTCGCGACCCCTCTTGCGTGCTTCATCCCCTTGGCTGCTTCCTCCGCCGCCACCACGGCTCCTCCGATCCGAGCGTCCTTCCTCCCTGGCTCCTGAAGAGCGTCCGTCGTCACGGGAGCCACGCTCGCGTCTGCTGCTTTCGCGAGGCTCGCGTCCTGATCTCGGTTCGCCGTCTCGTTCGCCGCGTTCGCGACGGCTGCTTTCTCGGTTGCTGCCGTGCTTCTCGCGGCCGCGGTCGGAGCCACGTTCGCCCTCTGCGCGTTCAGAAGGGGCAGTGCGGCTGCTTCGCTCTTCGGGATGGCGGCCTGATCGATCGGGTGAGCGCTCGCGGCCTGATCGGTGTCGATGACTGCGAGATTCTGAACGGCCTTCTTCTTGTGGAGCGCCCTCCATCCTGCTCGGTACATCCTCGTTTCGACTGCTCCTCGGGTGCTGGTTGGGCGTTGAATCAAGCGAGGGCGGTGGCATTGGGCTCGTCATGTCTGATCCGTCCATTGGGCCGTTGGCGCGAGTAGCACCGCGACCACGCACCGGAGGGTTGGAATGAGTTCCATTGCGTTCGCTTGATCGATCGGCAGGTGCGTTTCCAGTCAGTACGTTGTTGATGGCACGTAGTGGGTTGCCGGCATTCCTAGGTCCTCCAGGACCTGTGGGAGGTCGCGGGCCGACTGGTGATGATGGGATAGGACCTTGAGGAGCGCGACCTCCGTTACGCGGTCCGCTTGGAGCATTCGGCATGTTGGTCTGGAGTGGTGGCCCGCTTGGTGCTCTGCCCTCGATGTGTGCCAGCCTACTAGGATGGATGCCTGCTGGTAGTGATGCTGCGGGGCCGGTGGGTGCACTCGGTGTTGAAGGCTGCGAAGTTCGATCGCTGCGTGGGCCAGATGGCGGCGGCGCCGGCTCTGCAGGCTGGTTTAACCTGCCATAGTTGGGGTCTTGTGCCCGTGGTCCAGGTGTAGGCTGGAACATCTCCCGCGAAGCCCGGGATGTTGCAACGGCTTCGTTACGACCACCACGCGGACCGGTTGGAGCACTGGCTCCTGGATCCTCACGGTGGTTTCGCCCACTAGAGGTTGGCATCTGAGGACGCTCATCCCGAGGATCCCGTGGCGCATCATTCCGTCCATGATATCCAGGAGGCGGGCGCTCTTCGAGTCGACGGTCATCACCACGTCTATCATCGCTATGACGAGGCGAGTTCAAACGAACATCTCGCTCGCTACGGTTGTCGCGATCAGACCTCGGTGGTCCATGTCTGCCATGTTCTGCTTGATTGATCAAGGCAGCACGCGCTGGATTGACTGTAGGTTCTTCTTTGGCTGCGACTGGCACCGGTGGGAGTCGCGAAGATCTATCGTTCTGTTCCGCAGCATACGGGGCGTTGACCGGGGGACCATCTCGGCGGTATTCGTTGGCCAATGATGAAGTAGACGGCATACGGCGAGGCTCCGTTGCTGCAGGTGCAGGATAGCCTCGGGGATCAGAACGCTCACGTGAATCCCGCGCATCGTAAGGGTCTCTTGGATCCCATGTGGGCGGTCGTACCGCAGGCGCTCGCCCATCTCGCGGAGGTGCTCGCATAGCCCGGTCATCGTAATCGTAATCGCGTTCTCTGCCAGACCATTCGCGATGCTCGGCCGCTGGGGGCATCCTCTCGGGTGTTCTGCCACCAGGTAGCGGTCGCCCACCGCGCCGACCTGGCGACGCTTCACGTTGACGTGCAGCATCCGCCGTACGATCTAGTCGGCCATATTCGGCTGGGGGACCCCGACTGTCATATCGACCATGCGCGGCCTCTGGCGTACGGTCGACCATGGGGCGTTCCGATGGTCGTGTCCTCGGTTGCGAGTCTGGTCGTGTTGGCAGTGCGTGCGTTCTACCGACTGGGGTGTTGTGACCAGGCGTGTTTCTATTATCTGGTCGCAGCGGAACAGACGATGGATGCATCGGAGGGCCCTTGATTGGAGGCCTGCCAGAACCTGTCTCCGGTTGTGATGGCGTGGAAGGCCTACTGTCGGAGGCTTTTGGCGTTGGCCTGAATGGTTCTCTGTCTCTCGAAGGCGCAGGTGTTGTGCTATCATGCTTCGACCTGTCGTTTGATTCGCGTAGTGGGGTACCGTTTCTGGAAGACGTCGATCAGTTTCACCGTTGGTCATGTGGGCGCAATTTGTAAACTTACGTTTCGGGCTTTGGCTTAAAGGCAGGCGCAGATGCGTCGAGCTTCGTGTCCTGTGGCTGTGGAGTCTTGCCCTTCTCCGCAGTCGACTTTTCACTTCCGTTTGTCGGAAGTCCAGGGGGCGCCGGTACCTGAGGCGTATTAGTTCGCTGTCGTGGACGTGTCGATGGAGATGAACTCACGTTGCGGAAGACATGGTCCTCCTGCCAGAGCTTCTCTCCTTTGAGGATGGGACCAAGAACAGATTCCAAAGCTCTCTTGAGATCCTGCCTCTCCTCTGCCTCCTTCAGGTGAGCAACCGTCTCCTTCAGCTCAGTGCCCAGGCTCTTGACTCTGGGGAAATTGGTACCCAGCGCGTGAAGGACGTTGATGGCGTTACGCATCTGCATATAGTCCCCACTCTCCAGACATGTCTTGAGCGCAGCCGCGAGAGCCTTATGCCACTTAAACAAGACCATGCAAAACTGATCGTACGTGAAGAAGCTTGTCGGGTTTCGTTCTCCGTCGTAGCCCCTGCCGAAGCCAGGAAGGTTCTTCTCTGAACCTTGGGCGCGCTTGACAAAAGCATCGTCTTTGTTTTCCTGCCAAATCTGCAATTCACGCAGGATGCCACCGAGGAAACGGCCGAAAGATGAGGACTCTGCTTCGGTGTACATGCTGATGATGGACGTAAGTCTGTTGGCGTTGAAGAGCATATCCAGTAATCTGCTCATGCGGAATCCCGGCACGCCTGAGCTGTGCATGAAAATGAGCATGGAGAACGCATACTGTGCGTCTTCTTGAGATATGCGACTGCGAGGAATGAAGCAATCCTGGAGTAGAGCGTTGTGCAGGAGGTCGCACTGCGGACCCATCATTGGGATGCCCTCGAACCATCGGCGCAACTCAACGCGGAGACTATCCTGCGTCGCAGCGTGGTTCTTAGTGACAGTTTGCTGCTCTTCCTTGAGCCTGGCAATGTTCTCCTTGATACCCTTCGTTGCTTCGGAATCAGCTTTGGGTACATTGGGTCGGTAGCCGCGGCGCTCGGGAACAGGGGCGGGCAGCTGTCGCTCCAAATTCTCGATCGACTCCTTGTACAGCTGCTTGATACTCTCGGCATCAGCGACAACGTCTGGCAGAGACAACTGCCAGAAGGTGACGTAATAGGACAGGCAAGGATAGTCGCCGAAGGCGTCGGGTAGCTGTTGTTTGAGCTGGCTCGCAAGACCTTCAATCTCTGCGTTTGGTACATCGGCCAAAGATAGCTTATCCGATGTAGCACCAGTAGACTCTGCAGGCGCGGCGGAGTCTTTCATTTCCACGTCTTCGGTTGCTTTCGATGCCTCTTGCTCTCCGTTAACGGCTGGCGCTTCATCCACACCACTCATGGCGATATCGCCATTCGTCTGCGCATCGGGAACTAACTTCGAGCGTTGCTCAACCCGGAAGGCATTGGCCTTGGCTGCTATGCTCGTACGAGCAATGGTAAAAGCGACATCTGGCGCGATGTGGTAGTCCGCTATCATCTCTACCAGAGAAGGGAAGACAGCGTCAAAGTCGTCCACAGGGAGATATGTTCGGAGGAGCTCCATATACTGGAGCATGTCGGAGCGCAACTTGTCGACGGTGAAAAGGACAGGCTTGTCGGGTACATCGAGCTGGTCGTTGCGGTGAATGTACGCCTCTACGTGCTGCGCAAGCGCGATGAGAATTTGTGGTCCCAGACCCGTCTCTTTTAGACACCTGACCAGACGCCTTGCTGAAGGAGCAGCCTGGGTACGGTTGTCGGCTAGGCGATACTGCAAGGTGAAAGTGCGGAGCGCAGGGCCTGCACAAAGCGCAAGAGCCATCGACTCCGAGACGGATCCGCTAAGGCTGATGCCACCCATGGACTTGACCATCTGCTCAAGAACGTCCAACATATACAGCTCGCCTTGGGCGTTCAGAAGTTGGTGCGTCGTGAGCTGCAGAATTGGAACAGGATCCATCAAGTTGTATCTTGCGTAAGCTTTGCCGACAAATGTAGCAATATTCTTCAGCCACGGCGCAGAAAGCATACCATCTTCTTGATTTGACTCTTTGTCAGGGCTCAGAAGGTATGTAACCAGCGTCCAGGTCAGGACGTCGTATCCAAGTAAGGTAAGATACCTGCTGCACTCTACCAAAGCAGTGATCATGTTGGGGTAGTTGACCAACTGCTTGACTGTGGTCCTGAAGACGATTCCGGGGCTGGCATACGAGATCTTGGCAATCTTACGACCGTACTCTTTCGTGTTGGTGGCGGAAACGCGACTCAGGGTCTTCCTGGTTTCGACTTCGACTTGCTTGAAAGCTGTCTTGATCACCGGCTTGAGCATTCCGTTGAACCACTGCTGATAGATGGTATACCGAGTAGCTGTGTCGAAATGTCTGAACAAATCCCAAGCCTCATTGATGACTCCAGGATTCCTGCCGGTGAAGGTGATTGCGGGTGCAATGAAGGTTGCTGAAAAGTCGACCCAGCGTTTACGATTCGCTTCAGAGGGGTTGTCCGCTAGGTTCTTTTTTCCGATACGTATGATCTTGGTCAGGAGAACACTGTCCTTGCCGCACTCTGGTCCCACCAAACCTAATAGGCTGGTGCAGAGCTTGATCACATCGTCCACCTCTTGGCATACGGGGACGCTGTCGACCCAGTCTTCCCAATAGAACTTGTAATCAATTCCCCCATCTTGATCCTTCTTGTCAGGCTTGGCCCATCGTAGAGTTCGTCGAGGAACGTAATCGCTTGGCCTCATAATACCCCGGTTGCCAGCACCCTTGGTAGCGATGACGGTTTCTTCGGCTACAGCTGGCCTTGATTCTTCGTAAACCTTGCTCAGAGAGTGGTGCGCCAGACGGAAGATAAGGTCCAGCAGCTCGGGGTAGACGTCGAGCATCCAAGGATGCCGTCCCAGGATGAACAGAGCTTCCGGTAGTGCGCCGATGCACAGTAAACTCTTCAAGAGGGTGAACTTTTGGTCCTTGGGCTCGGGTAGGGCCTTCTTCTTATCAGTGGGCTCGTCAGACTTGGCAGGCGTGGTTCGTGCAGTATCCGACTTGGACCTGCTCTCAGCATCTCTAAGACGCGAAACAGCTGGCGGGCCGGGGGTCTCGTCGGGCAGTGCGCCGGCCATTGTCAGCGCATTGGCGACTGCACCTCGTTCACTGTCTTCCTTCTCTTTCTTGGCCTTGAGTAGCTTGTCTTTGTGTGCAGCCATGTCTTCCTCTAGAGGATACAGATGTGGGTAGAGATCCAGCATGGAAATGAAGCCAATCTTGATCAGAAGCGCAATCAGATACATGAGGTTCTCGGGGAGTTCGTCGGAGGCATCGCGGACATCGGATGCGTAGAACTGAAGCTTGAAGCCAAGCAGTTGAGCGGCGATGCTGTTTCCTGAGGGAGGGAGTGTCTTGGTCTGCTCCATCCACTCGTCGGCCCATTTCCGAGCTGCCTGCTGATTCGACAGCGTCGCGCCCTCTGCGGGTAATGTCTGGTCCGGCTGCCGGTTGTTCGCAGTGATACGACGGCTTCCAAGCTCAAAGTATGCCTGGATGCCTGCCCTGTCACCCAACTCGCCAACACGCTGCCAGAACTTGCGATCGCGCGACTCTCGTAGCCGTGATTGTTCATCCTTCTCTTCATCGGTGTAGTACCACTGTTTCGCATCGGGTCGTGCCCATTGAGGAAGTGTGGGTACTTCGGCCTCGTCCCAGGTAATGTTGTCGAAACCACGTAGCTCGGGCCACCATGCGCTCGTTCGCAACAACTTGACGAAGAACCTGCCGTGCTTGACAAGAAGGTTTGCAAACACATCCAGTGTCACGTCGAGGACTCTTCCAATGTCTAGATCGAATGCGCCGATGAAGGCATTCACCCGTTGCCAGGTCTCGGCGACGACTTCTTGTGTAGGCGGTTCGTTGTTCACGGTGGTGAAGTACTCGGTCATGAGCTTGGAGTAGCCCTCGGTCTCTTCGCGGAGGAGGTTGTAGTTGGACTGTCGGTACAGGGCGTGGGTTGCTTTGCGAACGGCCATCTTGGAGAAGCTATCGCGGACGAGGCCTAGGGACTTTAAGAGGTCGTTCTCCAGCTCGGCTCGCATGCGCGCGGGCTCGATGTCGGTTGCGACAAGCATTTGCCGTACGAGCGCGTGTTTGCTGTCATCCTGCGTGAGCGTGCTGAGCGTGCTCAGCGTGTCGAGAAACGTCGAGACTGGGTCGAGCTGGTCGTCAGCCGGGGCGGATGTGATGTCGCGTACTATGGATCCCAGTTCACCAGCGTCTAGCAGCTGGCCCGTAGACGCCTCGATGATCTCAGTGAATATGACCGCAAGGGTGAGTCTGTCGCCTGCACCCTGGGCAGCCACAGCAGCCGTCACCACAGCGTCGCGTGCCTGGCCATTCCAGTGAGCGACGTGGTCTGGTGTCAGGAACTCATTGCTGTTTGGCACCTCGCGCGGTGTAGAAGGCGTCGAGGGCTGTGACGGAGTCGGCGCCGGCGCAGGAGTGGATGGTGCGGCCTGGGGTTGCCGACTCAATGGGAATGTGTTTGCGGGTGGAGACATGGCAGTCGGCGACGGGTGTGAGACATTTGGACTTTGCGGAACACTCGAGTTGCCGCCGCGTCCATTGTTCCTGCTCTGACGCCTGCCACCACCGCCGCCGCCGCGCGGGCTGTTGGCTTGCTGCTGCTGGCCGTGCGAGAGTCCGAGGTTTTGGGGGCGATGCGGCGACGGTCGTCCGCTGCGGTCGTCGTCCTGGGAGTAAGTGCGGTCGCCCCGCTTGCGCTTGGGTGGAGGAGGCATGATGGCACCCTCTTACGATCGAGAGACCGGCGCGAAAAGAGAGTCGATGCAATGTGTGGAGAGCATGCGGCGCTGGCTCGCGAATGGGCCGGGGTGTCGGTGATGGTTAGGCGCGCGCCGCAGTCGACAATTAGTGTGAGGACTGGATGAGGCGGCAGGTTGATGGAGAGTTGGCAGCGCCAAATCGGGGAGTCGCGTTGGGGCGGGCGCGGGTTGATGATGGAGCGTGTCTCGATTTCGTGAGGCTCAAACCCTGGGAGCTCCGACTAGCGCAATGGCTGACGTGAACCCAAGGCTGCAACCGTGCATTCCCCATCCGTCCTCCACCAGACAATAGCAAGACACGTTTTCACTCTCACTTCAGACTACAATGGCAAGAATTGGTTGTACAATCTCGTTAATCAGTCAATGATATCTGACTTATTAATCATAATCACAATAGAAATATACGAGACTCAAGCATCACGGCAACATGCATTATGACGATGTACTTGGGCAGACGAATGATGAATAGATTTCGCTGCGCTGTTAACGCGTCGTCCAACTACATAGGTCTCAAATAACAAAACGAGCGACCAGACCTTCCCAGCAATTGCTTGATCCAGATGCCTAAGCCGCAGCAGCTACAGCCTGGGCCGTAGCCTTGCGCTCATTCTCAAGCACAGCCTCGAGAATTCCAGTCGCACCCTGGCCAGACTTCATCTCGTTGATAACGTCAGTTAGACCGAGCTGCTCGTCCGTCCAGAGAGGAGCGACCTCCTCCTTGCCAGCCTCACCGACACCGATGAAACCGCCCTCGGCAGCCCATTCACTTGTGCGCTTGATGCCCAGCTGGTTCCAGACAGCGTCGACGGCCTCGACTAGGTGGTCGCGGTACTCACGGATATGACCTGGGGTAGGCGTAATGCGCAGGCGCTCTTGGCCGACAGGAACGGTAGGGTAGTTGATGGCCTGGACGTAGATGCCCCAGTCTTCCATAAGCATGTCGGACGCCTTCCTGGCTACCTCGGCGTTTCCAACGAGGACCGGAATGATGTGGCTAGGGTTCGGGATAACGGGGATGTTCTTTTCGTTCAATGCATCCTTAACTGCACGAGTGTGCAGCTGTTGCAGGCGTCGGTCGCCCTGGTAGTTGGCCTGGTATTCGATGGCGGTCTTGGCACCTGCCATGGTCGCGGGCGGGAGCGAAGTAGTGAAGATGAAGCCAGGAGCGAGCGAGCGGATGGTGTCGACGAGTTTGGTAGAGCCAGCAATGTAGCCGCCAACGCAGCCGTATGCTTTTCCGAGAGTGCCAGTGATGATGTCTACGCGGTCCTGAACGGTACCTTGGGGTCTGCCTGCCTTGTGGGCTTCGAAGTCGAGATGCTCAGCAACACCGGCGCCGTGTGGTCCGTACATGCCGACGGCATGGACTTCGTCCAAAAAGGTGATGGCTCCGTACTTTTCAGCAAGATCACAGATTCCTTCAATAGGACCAATCGAGCCGCACATGCTGTACACACTCTCAAATGCGATAATCTTGGGGTATTCGGAAGGAATTGATTGCAGCTTCGCCTCAAGATCTGCGAGATCGTTGTGCTTGAAGACCATCTTCTTCGCGCCCGAATGGCGGATGCCTTGGATCATAGATGCGTGGTTCAAGCTGTCCGAGAGAATGACGCAATTTGGCAGCTTGCTTCCGAGAGTCGCAAGCGTCGCATCGTTGGCTACATAGCAGGATGAAAAGACAAGCGCAGCCTCCTTGGAGTGAAGCTTCGCGACTGTGTCTTCCAATGCTACAGCGTGCTGGTTGTGTCCGGAGATGTTCCTGGTACCTCCGGCGCCGGCTCCGTAGTTGTCCAGGGTCTCGTGCATCGACTTGAGGACGTGCGGGTTGCGGCCCATGCCGAGGTAGTCGTTGGAGCACCAAACCGTCACCTTGTCCTCAGGCGACTCCTTGTGGGCGCGCGGGAACTCCTTGGCCAGGCGGTTGATGTTGTTGAAGTAGCGGTACGACTTGTCCTTGTGCTTCTTGTCCAGCTCATTGTGGTAGAAGCCTTCGTAGTCGAACGTAGCGGCTTGCGGGGCGGATGCGGATGCGACATTCGAGGGCTTAGTGTTCGCAGGCTTCAGGGCTGCGTGCGGGAATGGTGGTCCTGGGCGATGTTAGCCTGCGACATTTTCTGCTACCTCCAAGACGCGGTCTCTCGGCTTCGTTGGAATTTCGTACCCTGCTTGCCCCTCAGGCTCTCAAGATCCACAGCCTGGGCTTCCTTGGACGCCGTCGTGTGTAGCCTGGCGCGGTTCACGCGGGTGTGGTAAGCACGCACACCGCCGAAAGCGCCGGCAAGAGCGTTGTTGCCATTGCGGGAGCTCTGGACGGCAAGCGCCTTGCCCATGATGGGGCAGCGACGAGCGATGACCTGGAGGTTGGACATGCTTCCAGCGCCGGGGGCAACCTCCTGGCGGGCCGCCGCCGTGGTCGTGGTAGAGAGGGAGCGGAGCGTGGCGGGTGACGTCTTGTGTAAGAACGGGCACATGGACTTCGACTGGCGCAAAAGAGCCTCCATGTTGGTCAAATGCGCGGCGTGTATGGGTTTTGGGTGTGTTGTAGATGTGCGGGCAGATTGGGTGTAAGGCGAGGTGAGGAAGAGTGCGAGAGAGAAAGGTGGTTGGAAAATGTGTCAAAGATGCGACTACATGAATTACATGCGGTAATAGCGCGGAATCTAACATGCCGGGCGTCGGCATCAAATGCACTCGTCATGATTGGCCCACCTATATTAGCTTGCAGTGCTGCCGACGCCATCTTCATCAGCGGTACGGTACTCCGGAGAGTAATTGCTCGGATAGTTCCATAGTTCGCACTGCGCCTGCGAAGGGTCCTGGGTCTGGCTCACACTGTAACTCGACAGCACCCGCAATGCCGCCTGTCAGCCCCTCCATGATACCTCTAATACGATTCCACGCTTTGCATCAATTGCCACCTTCATTCAATTCATAGCGAAAACTTGGCCATGTTTCAACTCAATCGTACAACACTTGAACTGCAACTACTCAGGTGTAGTCTGTGATCTTAGCGTACCCCGCCTTTTGCCCGGCGACCTGGCCTCTACCCTCTAACTCGGAGCCGCCACCGTCCCATTTCGTGAGGTTGATCTCTACGATTCCAAGAGGATCTGCAATCCATAGGCCTGGATAGCACATCTCTCCAAAACTTTCGTCTGCATACCTCGGCCTGCACTCAGTCATGGTCGTGCTTAGCGTACAGTGCGGAACTGGAAAGTCTTGCCGAAATACGCCGCACGTGGTTCGATAATCCCACTCTTCGGCATCTCTGTTTGAGCAAACATTTCATAAGCAGCCTGTCAGACCTGAGGCCTAGACCTTCCTGCAGAACGGCCCTTTCTGGAGGACAGGTACTTGAAAAAAGATGCCGCTGGTTCAGTCATCGTCGGAAATCTCGATGATCTCGGCCTGAGATGGCTGGTCAGGATGCTGCAGAGCCTTTTCGCTGAACGTCGTCCCCATAATCGTATACACATAGTCGTAAAACGTGTTTGTCTCGGCGGCCCCGCTATCCATAGATCTTCTCAGCTCTTCAAGATCTTTCTTGGATGCATCGGGTCCTTGGAAGTAGTTGCTACAGAACCACCAAGACAAGAACAGCTTCGTGAACGCGAGAATCTTTGGCATGTCTCGAGGTAGGACGCCCTGCAGCTTCGTTTCTCTTCTGCACAACATACCGATGCATGCTCTGATCTCTTTGATCAGATTGGTCTTTCCGACGAGGCGAATTCGATTCCGAATAACTTCGCGATCATTGAACTTCATTTCGTGGATGACTTTTGAGACTACGCGCTTGCGGTCAAGATGCTCGACCAAGTCTTCCCATTTCCAGCGGCGAACTGTGGCGATCGAAGCGTTCTCAGGCTCATCTCCATGGTTGATAGGCGTACGGGTAGACAAGCCGTCTGGCTCAAGAAGCCCTGGGTGCGCATACATGATTGGCTCTACGCTGTCGGCGATGACTGAGTCTTGTGTTGATGAATGTGTCAGGTCTTCGAGCGGATCAGCTTCAGCACCGATATTGATTCTTGATGGCAATGCATTTCCATCTTCGATGTCTGACGAATCTGGGGGTGAACCCAAATCGATGATTTCATTTGATGCATCTGCTTGGAGAGCTGATGTGGTTCGTGGTAGATTCGAATGGTCGCGCGTAACAGCGATGTCGTGATCGTCGAGTACCTGCTCTTCATCACTGTCGTCAACAGGTTCCAGCTTGTAGATGTCGCGTAACCAGGCTGCGAATTCCATGGAGTCGACCGTGACCTCAAGGTTGCTGCATTGTCGCCGTACTTGCTCCTGCAGTATGTCACCGTTAGTGAAGACGTCTTATCTACCGTCAGGGTGTTGTTGCTTACCGCATTGCTTCCTGGGAATTTGACGATCTGGTCGCACAATCCATCCAGTCTTGACTTATAATAGAGATGCTCTGTCTCGTACTTTTTCGCCAGGGCTTCTCGCTCCCCTTTAGCCTCCGCTTCAGTCCACATAGCGACTGGGTCGTAGTCCACCTCCTCGCCGCGAGCAACACCCTTGTTCGGCTTCCAGGCATCTGTGAAGGACTTGATTCGCTCGTTGATGATGTCGACAATCTTGTCCTGACTCAACTTGGTCCGCTTGCTCGGTTCTTCAACTGCATCCTCATCCTCGTTGTCGACTGATCGAGAATCCTCTTCAGCAGCATCCCCTAGCCCGGAATTATCATCCTCTTGTAGGTCGTCCTCGTCAGGCAAGTCTATGATCTGGTCACCTCCTGCCACGTTCTGCCATCTGAGTAGGTGAGCATAGTCGTCCATGTTTGATAGCGCTGGATGTGAGAGCCCGGTGGCTGCCGTGTTTGATGTTTGGCGATGGCGAGAGATGCGAGATGTTTGCTACAGCAGTCGCGGATTGGGCGCCGCGTAGAAGGTGGGGCACCCGTCTAGGCAAGTGCGCGCGGTCACTTGATCACGCGACGAGGGGCAAGCATCACCAAGGTCATCACATTTCACGGTGAAGATAGTTGGCAATGATTGCTGTCACGTCGAAAAGCCGCCAAATATGTGCTTTGAAATGCGCGACCAGGGTCCTTCGGTGCGCCTCGGGCTTCGGCGGGGCAGGATGAGGCAATCGCTCTAGCGCCGACAGCATTTGTAAGTCTCTCTCTTACCTGAGCGATCTACTCTTCTAACGACACCGAAACAACTTAGCCACCATAGATTCAATGTCGCTCACCGAATACCCACCAGAGCTGTCTCAACAGGAGGAGCAGTACCTGCTATCCAATCTCAAGGACTGGTCGATTGCTCATGGCTTAGCGGTTCGCCCGGCTCCGTCATTCGTCCAGCCATCACAGGATCCATCTGGTGTACTCGCAAGCACAGCACCAGTCACTTTATTCCCAAGCTTGTTTCCACGGTCCTGCTTCGAGGAGGGCCTCTCCATACAACAGGCTTACAATGAGTTGTACTCGGCCATTGCCAGGGACGAGACGTGGTTGAAGAGCATTGTGGAGGAGCTTGTCCATGTTGACGACTTTGTTGCAAAATTATGGCAGACCCATCTAGAGGTTAAGAAAGAAGGCTACGTGCAGGACCTTTCGTTGGGGCTCTTCCGCTCAGACTACATGGTACATCAAGACCCTTCACAGTCAAATCCAAAGTCCGGTTTGAAACAGGTCGAATTCAATACCATTGCTTCGTCTTTTGGCGGACTATCGGCTCAAGTGTCTGCGTTGCACAAGTACCTACTCACAATCGACGCTTACCCAGATTCAACATCATCTATTATCAAGCAAGAGGCTTTGCGACAGAGCCAGTCAGCTTCTTCCTTGGCAAAGGGCCTCGCTACAGCACACAAGGCCTACGGGACTTCGCGCACCAAGCGTCCCCTGTGTGTGCTGTTCGTGGTACAGGACCCAGAGAGAAATGTGTTTGATCAGAGACATCTTGAATACGCCCTGCTTGAAGAAAATGGAGTGCGCTCCTTCCGACTACCTTTCGGAGAGACACTGTCTCACACTCAGCTCGACACAGACCGTACACTGGTCTACACACCACCAAACTCTCCCTCGACGTCGTACGAGGTGACGACAATTTACTTCCGAGCGGGGTACTCACCAGATGATTACTCAAAGGACGAAGACTGGAACGCCCGCACTCATCTCGAGAAGAGCCGTGCTATCAAGTGCCCAAGCGTCTTGACCCAGCTTGCGGGATGCAAGAAGGTTCAACAAGTGCTTGCTACACCGCATTCGCCGCACCTCAAGCGCTTCCTACCCGACGAAAAGGTCGCCGCGCGCGTACTGGAGACCTTTGCGCCAATCTACCCGCTCGACAACAGCGAGGCTGGCGAGGAAGCGAAGAAGCTTGCGACGAACGCCTCTTCGGCCACAAAGTATGTGCTGAAACCTCAGCGAGAAGGAGGAGGAAACAACATTTACCGGAAAGCCATCCCACCATTTCTGCAGAAGCTGCCCGAGACTCATTGGCCGGCGTACATCCTAATGGAGATGATCGAGCCACCTCCACTGACGAACGCCATCCTGCGAAACGGTGAGCTGCAGAGGGGTGGCGTGATTTGCGAGCTTGGAGTGTACGGCGTGTGTCTCTGGAGAGACGCGAATGGAGACGGAAACAAGGGCGAGATCCTCGAGAACTGGGAGGCTGGATATCTACTCCGCACCAAAGGTGACCAGAGCGAAGAGGGTGGTGTGGCCGCAGGATTCGGAGCAGTTGACAGCTGTTGTCTGGTGGACGGATGAACACACCGTTGAGCACGTACTGTATGCGCAGCTCGCTACAGCTGGCAAGTTGGTAGGAGCCTTCGGTTAAAACGGTATTCTGAAGCCGTTTGCATCTTCGATCGATCTGAACCAGGATTCACGATGTGATGCGATGTGTTGTACACTGATAGCGTCGACTTCTACCGCGCATCCAGCATCGATACGTTCCCACTACCCCCAATCTGCATGCTACCGTGTCCATCACTCCTTTCTTGTCAAAACCTAGTTGTGCGTATTGGAAGATGGACATCGAAGCTGGATCTTGTAACTCGCGGAGGTGCCTGCGTCAACCTGGAAGCTTTTTGCATGTATTGCCAATCTTACGGGACCCACTATAGTTTTGGAACCACGTGCAGACCTCCAGGCTACCATGCCAAAACTCCGAGTAGGATCTGTGCAACGACCTATGTGAAACAGATGACGATGCGATGCCTCGACAATGAGGCGCGAGCAGATAAACGTCAAATCTGCGACTTTGAAGAATTGCAGCTGTGAGAACTGTCTGAGGGTGTCGTGAAACTAGTGACAGGAGGTAAGCCGATAGCTCGAATCGCTAGTGCTAACGTCAGGAAGCACGGAAGTGATTCCCACGCGAAGGTTCGCTCAGAACTGGATCGTCGGCAACGCGCACGGCTGCTTGCAGATCTGATGAGCATCGGTTACAGGAGATGCCGTGCCATTCACATCATCACTCCCTTTCGGGCAACGCGATGATGAACTTTTTGCTTCGATCCAGACTACATATCCCTCCGCCTCGGGGAGCTGAAGAAAAATGAAAGATCTTACAGATAACGATAGTTGGAGGCTTGAACCTTGCGGGCGGACTACGGGCTGAGGCTCAGTGGGCTGCACGTTGTTATGTGAGGAGCGCCCTTGCGGAGGGTCTTTATGCACGCTGCGGCAGCTTATGCATGGGCACGTAGCGAGACCCCTGCCTAGAGTTTGCAGCCCTACCTGCGAATGGCTGCACCTCAGCTCACGACGCGTTCTCCTTCATCAACATCTCACTGGATGACAGCCGCCATGTGCCTGCTTGGCGAACGTAATCACCAACTCATCTCGCATATGTGCGTGCAGCTCGCTGGGAACCCGCAGCGCGCGCCTCCATGGCATTATCGACGGACGGCACTCGGCAGCCTCAAACGCCTCATCGCATGTCTGGTACGGCTGTCTGGCACCGGGTAACGTCCGAACTCCGCTCTCAAGTGTCAATACTAGATGAGGAATATAGGCTACTGAACTATACTTGTTTTGCCCTAAAGCACCTGGAGGCGTTGCTCGCGAAAACGTTAGAATGGCTGGTGGCTGCCATTGCAATCTTAATTTCAACCCGTGGACCTTTCCAAGGACCACACCACACCCGTTGCAGTATGGGTTATCCCTAAAGGAGCCGCCGTTTCTGACGCCGCCGAGCTCGATGGGCTCCTGGGCTCTGCTTTTTTCCTTCATTGCAGGAACAGGGCCGTGCTCGCTAAGCCTCTCGCTTTTTGCAACCTGCGGGAGGAGGCGTCGATCTCCTGTCTAGGCTATGCTGGCGCTCACCCATGTGGCTTCTCTCGTCTGATATATGCCCAGGTGCGCCTCCACCTTCCGTTTACCTGCTTTCTGCATCTCGTCTGCACCACTTGCATATCCTGCATTCGCGTATTGGCCGTTTGTGCCTACCACACTCCTTCTTCATTCGCTCTTTTTACTACTAGTAATCCCATCTCGCTCCTTGAAACAGTCTTTACCACGTCGATTTTTGCTCTTTCGACATCTTTGCTCGTGCGTCATTGTTGCAGACACCACCTCGCTGCATATCAGGAGTCGCGCTTTCCTCTTCGAGTATCCTCGGAGGACCGTTCAGACGCGAGTTCCAATCCTAATCGTAATTTCTCCATGGCATTTGGCTCTTTGTAGACACGTCTACACCGCATAATCGCCATGCGCTTTTCTGGTCACTACTTGGTTCTCTGTCTTGCGCTTGTTCTATGCCTACAGTTTGCGATTGCAGCTCCTCATGCTGCTGTCCGTAGACAGGATGACACTCCTTCCGCGGAGTCGACGCGTGAGGCTCAGGACAGTGCGTCTCGACAGCCTTCTGCCACACCCACCCCATCGGGAATAATCTCTTCGAGCATTGAGTCTGAACGTCCTTCATCGACTGAAGCTTCCTCGGTCAAGCCATCAGAGACACCGGCACCGAGCTCTATCAATGATGTCCCTACTACGACTCCATCTGATGATGCTACTCCAGCAGAGTCTTCTGGTAAGTTATGTGGTGAGAAGTATTATGAGATGGCTAATAATGTAATGTAGAGAGTGCCTCCGCGGACCCAAAAAACCCACTGCCCATTCACCCCAAGCTGACCCCCGCTATGGGCGTCACTGGAGTGCTATTGCTACTCAGTGGATTAGGATATGCCATCATTGGTATCAAGAACAAGTGGTATGTACATCGACATTTATCTACCAACCTATACTGACAAAGAGAAGGGTATACGTGTTCGGGTCTGCTGCTTACCTGACCGCTCTCGCCGTCACTGTCTTGATAGTATATTTGATGAACCCTCCTGTCTCGGATGCCATCCAGGGAGCCTTCTTCGTGGCGGCCTTCTTCACTGGAGTGATTTTCGGTGTCCTGTCCTTGGTCTTCGCAGACATCGCCGAAGGTTTTGGCTGCCTACTTGGTGGCTTCTGCCTAAGCATGTGGTTCCTCAGCGTCAAGGACGGTGGCCTGATCACTTCAGGAACTGGTCGTGCCATCTTTATTGGTTGCATGTCAGCTGGAGGCTACTCGCTTGCTTTCAGTCACTACACACGCAACTACGGTCTCATCGCCTCAATCGCCTTCTCCGGAGCCACCGCTGCCATTCTTGGTATTGACTGCCTGGCTGGTTCCGGCTGGAAGGAGTTCTGGCTTTACCTCTGGAGTAAGTTGACGCGCAGTATTCGCAAAGTATTGCTAACCCCCGCAGACCTCAACGATGACATCTTCCCTCTTAACACCAATACCTACCCTGTTACCAAGAACATCAAAGCCGAGCTGGCTGGTGTTGTCATTATCACAGTAGTCAGTATCGTCTCCCAGCTGCGCGTTTGGAAGTTAGTCAAAGAGCACCGCGCAAAGACTGCCGCTCAACAACTCGAGAGACAGGCGGATCAAGACCGTGAAGAGGAGGAGCAAGGTCGCAAGGTCGAGGAGATCTTCCAGAAAGAACGTGCTCAATGGGAAGCTGCATACGGCAACGGACAGAATGTGCCCGAGGACAGTGTCCGATCTTCCACTTCAGATCCCAAAGACCTTACTCATGTCCATGAGAAGGAGGTCTCTCCCAACGACAGCGCGGTAACAGTCAACATGTCAACTGGAATGATGCGATCTGCCAGCCGCACCGCCAAGCCCGACGCCACCGTCACTGTCGCTGTTCTGGATGACGATGCTATCCAACAAATCGAACCCGAGGCCCATACTGCTGAAAACGAAAAAGCTCTTCCAGAGGCTCCTAAGGATGACTCGAGGCCTACTCTAGTCAAAAGCAACAGCCTACGCCCCACAGCCCCGCCGCCACCTCCAGCCGTCGTCCCACTTCCGTTCAAAGTCCCTACCGAAGATGAGGCGCACACTGACGACGACAATACCTCCGTCTCTGCTGTTCCTGAGACTGATCACGATGCCGAGGTGCCCAGGCGCCTGTCGAAGCGCGTTTCTGATGTCTCCGCAATGAGGCAACGTATCTCGAGGGACATGGTAGCATCGCAAGAAGCTTTGAACGGAATGCGAGGTGACGAAGACGACCGCGCTTCGTCTGTTGCCGCCACACTTGACGACGACCTCGATGTGCTGTCGGTCCGTAACCTGTCCCCAGTCGAATCACCGATCGGAACCGAGCACGACAACCCATTTGAAAAGCCTGGACTCAAGAGACAGGATTCCGACACTGTGCCTAACCGGAAGAGCGTAGTGAACACCGCTGACGTAGTACAATCTCTCACGACTAGTACCGACCCAAAGACAGCAGACTCGCCCAAGGAACAGACATTCAAGCACAGGGCCGATACAGTCATGTCCAGCTCCAAGGCGAGCAGCGAGAAATACTCCAAGTCTACCAAGTCTGATGAAATCTCTCAAGGCTCACAGATGGAGCAAGGCGGATCACAGGTTGGCAGTCTGACTGAGAACGTGATGCCGGAGAAGCTTTCGAAGATCGCCCTGTCCTACCGCACGAACGAATGGGCGAAGCATCTCGAGGCCGCTGAGAAACCAGACTACGAAGACATGTTCCTGCCATCATCACCCGGTATCATGCTCGCCGACGGATCAGAAGAGAAACCCACGCCAGTCAGTGACGAGCTCCTCTACGAGAGCAAGCGCGAATCGAGAAGGATGTCAACTGGCAGCCGAACGCAAAGGAACAGCACTCAAGGACTCCGACGCAACACCTCGACCTTCTCTCAGGAATCACTCGTCAACCAGCGATCCCTAACCCACTCCCCTTCCATCGCCTCTCCCCAGGTCCTCTCCCGCTCCAACTCCGCCATCAGACTCGACACCCTCTCCCCCCTCCCCAGCAACACCCTCCTCAGCAAGCGCGAAAGCCTGATCAAAAACCGCGCCTCAGCTCTAACCCTCACCCCCCAAATGTCGTCACCCAACCTCTCCCAACGCGGCAACGACGACGAAGACATGACGCTATCCCAACGCCGCCAACTCCTCCAAGCCCAACAACTCTCCCCCTCCCTCTCGCACCAACCCTCGCTCCGCTCCCCGGGCCGCACACCCCCTTCTTCCTCGCAAAAATGGCAAAACAAGACCTGGGCCACCAAAGGCGCGCCCGCCGGCTTCGACAGCCACCAACCCAAGCGCTCCTCGAGCGCGCAGTCCGAGCAGAAGCGCGAACAACTCTACGCTGGGTGGCGCGACACCATGCGCGATATTGCGCCGCCGCAGCAGACGGCTGCGAACGTCGTGGAACAGCAGCGCGCGGCGCTGTTGATGGAGCGCCGGCAGATGGAGATGGAGAGGCAGCAGCGCGAGGTCATGCAGCAGCAGCGGGCGAGTCAGATGGATAGTATGATGCGGAGTGGACAGATGATGGATGCGCACCGTGAGGCGATGAGGAAGATGCAGGCGAATGCCAACCGACACACTTAGCTGTGGGATATACCTTTCCTTGGTTACTTGAGTTTCGAGATGACGTTACGAGCCGGCGGGCCCGTACAAAAGAATCTTTTTCTCTTTCTATGTTAGTAGGTAGTTATGTAGTTGTTGTACACGAGAGCCTTTTGAGCTCTGCGAGCGGGTTTGGGAAGGTTCGGTTCGGTCAGGTTCAGGTCACGATAAGCGTTGGATACGGACTGGCATATCGACGAGCAACGCGAAGGATATACCATTACATGAGGGCGGGACTTTGTGTGCTTTTATTTACATATATACGATCCTGCGGTATACAACAATCTTGCAGCTATTAGCAATACGAGAGCATATGAACCGGCATAGCGACTCTATTTGTGAGATGTGAAATGAGCAGTGAGTGTGCTTTATAGATCGGCAATAATAGGATGTGCAGTTATTATTGCAAGAGTGTTATACCTAGGATATGAGAGGTGTAGTCGCCGTCTACACTCCATACACTAGCGACGATCCTGGATAACGGGGAAAAGTGAGGCTGGACACAAGATTAACTACCACGACACTACGCCGCAAGCCACAACCCACCGCACTCACTGCGTGGACCACCTCTCTTTCTCCCCACCCGGCAAAGCTGCAAACAGCCAGCCTCGTACCGCATCGCCACCAGCACAGACATGCCGGCTGACATCATATACAGACTAGTCATCGGAAGTAAACGCCAGAAAAGGGGTCAAGTCGAACACACGGACTTGACGCTGTTCAGATGAGAGCAAGTGCGCGGAATCCCGACGACGCGGTTCTGGGTAAAGAGCTGACAGGGCTTGCCGGGGATGTGGCTGATGTGTGGGTAATTGGTGGAAGGGAGTTGCTACTCATGGGTGTGGGCGTGTGAGATGGATGGTTGGTTAGCATTGAGAGGGTTGACGGGGGTGTGAGGGTGATGGAGATGGGGATGAGCGTGGAGTCATGCAATTGATGCAATTGTCAGCAATGGAGGCAAAGACGATGTCGATGACGATGGCGATTGAGCGGGTTAGTCGAGGAACAGAGTGTGTTAGGAGGATCGTGTGGACATTGATTTGTGTTGTGAAACAGGGCTGGGCGGGTGTACTCGAGGCGTGCGCCAACGTCATGGTCTGGTCAGGGTCAGGGTCATGTGAGCGACAGCGGAGGCGGACGGCGGATGTCAACGGTGACGGCAGGCGTGGGTGTGCCCGCCAACGTATTACCGTATGAGAGGGAATGCATGTCGAGTATGCCTAAGATTGACATCAGTCGGATGGATTGTTAGGGATTGTTAGGATTGTCCGGGCTAATGCAGGCACAGTGCCTGGGATAGGTGAGGGATGGGTGAAGGGGCAGGGGTCAGCGTGATGCGGCAGGCAGTCATCAGCCTGCACAAGCCATGGCAGGCAGGCGCTTTTTCATGAGCCTGGGCTGGGAGGTGCCCAAGTTGCGCCGGACGAGGCGGACGTGTCGTGTCGTGTACAAGAAGAAGGAAGCACCCTCGCTCTTTCCTTTCGTGGTGACGCCTCTCCTGCTGCTGCATGCGACAAAGTTAATTCCATGGCCCGTTTCTGTCTCTGCTATTGCCAAACCCGCCGTGTGAGACGTTGACACCAACACTGCGACACTGACCACGGCGACCACGACACGACGACGTCCTGCCATAACAGTGCAGCGCACTCATCCACCACACCTGATTCCCCGCTGTCTGCTCCTTCTTCCTTAACAGTACGGCACCCACGGCAAACTTCGCCTTGTCGGCAGGCAATGCTGCAGTGAGCATGGACCACTTGCCCTTGGGACCCCTAAGGAATTCACCACCACCCAGCACCGCCCGTTCACCACCGGCACGACGACGACTCCACGCCCGCCCTCCGCTGCTTACCCGCCGCCTGCTGCGTCGCCAGTGCCTGCCCGCTGGTCGCTGACCAACCGCATCTTCAACCTCAACCTGCGCGCGCTGTACCAGGGCCCGCCGCGCCAGCCCGCCTCGCGTCTCTGGAACCCCGTCAACTCGTCGCCGCGCACCCTCCAGATCCAGAACCCGCCGCCTGCGCCTGCGCCCCAGGCCCTGCCCCCGCGCCGCGACGACCACTACCCCAATCTGCCCATCGAGCGCGACTTTGAGACGCAAGCCAGGGAGGACGGCCGTGACGAGTACCCGCTGCTCTCGCTTCCCGAGCGCCGCCTCAGTCGCCAGAGCCCTGCGCCGAGCTCCCTCGCCGTCCAACGTTCCACGGGCGAGGACAGCATCAGCGGTCGCACCAGCATCGCCCTTCCGCGTGATCGCAGGAGCCAGCCGCCCACCCAGCCGCCCACGCCAGGCCTCGTCATGGCCTCTGCCGCCAACCCCAGGGACAGTGTCTCGCCCGCGCCCCATGCCGACAAAGATATCGAAGCCGGCCGCAACCACCAGCCCGCCGGCCTGTCGCGCGTCTCTCTGCCCGGCTCCGGACGCACCTCGCTGCACTCAAGACGATCAGGGTCTGCTGCTGACGACGACGCCGACGCCGTGTCCGAGTTCCCCTGGGGCCCTTCGCATCCCTGCTTTCCCCATCCCAACCCGCATGTGCCACTCGACTCCGAGCTGTACAACACGACGCGCATTATCCGCATAAAGCGCGACTGGATGATGAAGGGCGACCTGGCCCCGACCTTTGCCAATCTTTACCCCGAGATCCTGGACCCCCTCGTCACCGAAGACGACTTCCGGATACTCATCAAGAAGATTAATGATACCCTCGTCGACGCCTTTGACCCATTCACCTTCCGCGCCTGCCTCGACACCGTCCTCGGCATCGCGACCTTCTGGCTCTGGGAAGACGCGGGCTTCACCGGCGTAAAAAAGCAACTCGCCGACCTCGAGCGCTGGATCGAAGATTGGAACCGCGACATCGGGTCCAAAGAAGCAGTCCGCATAATCCCACTACGGCGGACTGGATACCTGACAGTGCGTATACCAAAACACAATGAGTAAAACCACGTTTAACTAACCTTACACAGCTCGACGTCCAAATACCAGATCCCCATCTCGGCCCCGACACAGGCACACGGCCGCACACGCAAGAAGATAATCACCCCACCGAAGCTTCACACCAGCAGCAGCACGAGCAATACCTACCATACCCCATTACACCCACTCTGCAGGTTAATTCGCAACCCACCATCATCGAAGCGCAGTCATAATACCATACTACCATACGTACAACACAACACAAAGACATACGAGGAGAGACACAGTTCAAAAGCCAAAAAGGAACGATTCACGCGGTTTAGCGGCATATCGACATTCATTGCATTGGTCGTTTGAGGAGTTTGATGGTGTCAGTCAGTCTTGATTCTTGGGTCTGCTTGATTGGGTGGGCTGGGCATTCCGGTTGCCCTTTCTTTTTTTTCTACTTTTCTTGTTGTAAGAGCTGTTACGACCTACTACACAATATCTGCGGCGACGCACAACCCACACATACAAAGTCATAATGTTTCTTTTTTCTTATCTCCTCATTGCATCGCATCGCGTCTCGGGTCTTTTTGTCCATGGTCGTTGAGATCGTGGTTTGTTTGTTTTTTGCGCGATCGTTTTCTTCCGAGTTTCTTTCCGATACCCTGCTGCGAGATGGCTGTTGGAGCGCGTTGAAGTGCGTGCGTGCTTTGTTTGTTTGGTCGTGCGTATGGCTAGACAGACCGGGCTGGGCGATGTGCTATAGAGTGTGGCGCATGTATGTACTATATTTATTATTACCATCATTCCTACTACTGCTGCAATCTATTCACGTCTCACTATCCTTCTGTTGAGATGTACTCGGCGGTATTACAAATGTCTAAGCCTAGACAGTTTTTCCGTCTTGGTGTTGGTGGTGTTGCAAGCCAGCCCCAACTGACTCGACGCTTCGCTTCAGCCTTGCAACCGACATAGTCCTGCATGAAAACCCTTCATCTCGGTAATGCCGTCATGGTCTCAATATGGACATGTGGAAAGTTTGTGAGAGTCGTGACAAACCCAAAGTTCGGGAGAGAAACGCGTCATACTATTTGAAACGCATAGACTGCCAGGATGCTGTCATGCAAAGCAGGGCAGGGTTGAGTGGGAGGGTAATCCGAAGTTCTGCCTTGGACGAAGGACAGAGCTGTTTTTTCTGTGCTGTATCAAAAATGGGTTATGGAATTAGAGACGGATGGGAGGAACTGGGAGGATGAGCAGAGAAATTGGTGGCGGGAAGGGACTGTTGGTTTACATTCTTACCACGGGCTTGTTGTTGTTGGGTCACATGAGAAAGGGCGAAGTCGAGCGGACTGAATGCTTAAGAAGGTTGGCTTCGTTATTACTGCCCTGGTATCCTCCCGTCAACTTCCACCAACCCATCCGTTCTCTTCACATCCCCCTTACAGCTTACTTCCTAATCATTCCCGGTCTAACATGTAAACTCGTACTCTTTCTGATTCTCTCACTCACACTCTCGCTCGCCGCCTCCACACTACCCTCCTCACTCTTACTCTCCTCACGAACGGAACTCATTCGACGCGTTGTGTCGGCGCTTGATCGCCGGGTGTGGTTGCTGTGTGGATTGGCGACGGGGTTAGAGAGGATGTTGGAAACGTGGTGGTCCGGGTTCGTAGATAAGTAGGAGGAAGAGGAGATTGAGCGGCGGCGGGGTTGAGGTAATGTGTCGGTGTTGGAGGTGGTAGGATAAGGGAGGGAGGAAAGTGAGGTGAGGACGTTACGTGTGACGACACGCCTATTCAATGTCAGTTGTCAGTTCCCAATTGACCAGTCAAACAAACACCACACCCAACCCACTCAATCCCCATCACACCACCTAAACCACCCCATCGCCCTATCCAAAAAAAGCCCCCCGCACTCACCGATTCGCAGGCAACCTAAAACACGGATGCCAGCCTACCCTCTCCCTTCCTCCATCCTCCCCATCCCCCGGCCCAACAACCCAATACCAAACCGCCCACTGCCCCTCCTCCCTCATCTCCCCCACTGTCTTCCTCACCCCATCATACACGTCTGGACAAAACGACCGTGGGATAGAGCCGTTGGCGTCAAGAGCGCCGGCGGGCAACATGGCGGGGACGGCGGCGTGCGAGAGGTAGCGCCATGTTAGGTTGAATATGAGATCTGTGGGTGAGGGGGCGGGATCCATTAGCTAGATATTGCTCGAATTGGAAAGTGGAGAACGACGATAGGTTCGGGGGTTTTTCTTTTGTGGAAGACCTGCGGAGATTTGCGTAGTGAGGATTTTGATAGTAGAGGAGATGTGGAAGCGTTGGCGTATGCGCGACTGGTAAGAGGTACGTGTACTGACAGGTGGGAGTGAGCTGTGAAATAGAGAAAAAGGGTGTTGGTTGGACACGTAACGTAAGGCAAGGCAAGGCAACCGGGTTTTTGCAGTGACTGGGGAAGTGAAAACGGAGAAACCTTCTCTTTGATGAAAGACAGGACCTACAGGTCTGAACGTTGTGGACTATTCCTTCCAAGTCTATCGTTCGATCGACAGTGCTGTACGTAGGGAATCTACCAGGCGCTATGCGACAATTGACTTACACGTAGGAGACGGTAGAAGCTTCTAAAACGCAATACCAGTCGTCCACCACGTATCGCCACGATGCCAGCGTACGAGCTGTCCGCCCCAGCACCACCACCCATCTCTCGCATCAGGTCCGAATCCCAGTCCGCGGAACAGAGAGATAGGAATAGGTTCGAAGAGCCAAACGCCCGCTTGAGCAAAGTCGTCGCAAAGAAGATGAGCCGTATAATAAAACCAGACATGAACGTACAGAAACGTCCACCCTCGCTTCAACCAACTAGGCAGATCCCTCCCCAGCCCAGCCCCCTTCGCAGCCTGCGTCAAACACGCTTCAACAAAGATCCCCACAGCCTGCAGCAAGAAAAACGCCATGGGCCCCCTCACCGGCCTCGTCTCCCCAGTCGCAGTAAAACTCCCACTCCCATGCACAACGCCACTCAGAAAAAACGCTACAAAAAGCTGCAACGCCTTCGCGCCCACCCCCCTCTTATCCCACCCCAACCCCTCAATAACCTTGCGACTAGGTTCCTGGAACGCAAACCGGAAAGTCTGATGCCACCAGCTGCCCCACCATCCCGCGAGCCCTTTATCCAAGACCACGCTGTACGGCGCCCACGTCTCAGGATACATCCAGGGTTCAGCGCGGGCGCCGAGGAGAGAGGGGGAGAGGAGGCCGCTGAAGAAGAGGGGGCCGAGGGCGAAGATGGTTTGGAGGGCGTATTTTACGGCGAGCATGCTGAGGAGGAGGTGGTATGTGTGTGTTAGTACGGGGTTGTTTGTGAGCCACGAGGGGAGGTGCGGTGGTGGTGCTGCTCTGTTTGTCAAGCCCCAGAAATAGGGATCCCACATCATTGTTGTTTTTAGCAAGTCGAGTACTAGGTAGCCTTTGAGTAGGCGCCAGGTGTTTTGCCGGAGGAGGGTGCGCCGGTTTGTGAATTGTGCTACTTGGCCCGCGTGGGTTTTGTAGGTGTGTTTTGGAACGGTGGATTTGGAGTTGCTGTCGAGTTGGATCTGGATGGGTTTGGGGGGTGGAGGGAGGGCGGTTGTGCGCCAGTTCCAGCCCATGCCCCGGAAGTTGCAGAATATGTCCAGTACCCAGTCTAGGCGCTCGATGAAGGGGCGGAGGGGATAGGGTTGCCATGCGTATTGGCCGTGGCGGTCTCGTGGCCCGGAGGTGCTGTTGACGAGGTCGTCTTCGATGGTCTGGTTCTTGATGTCTCCTTTGGCCTCTACGCCTCTATCGTGTTGTGTCTTCTCTTTCCGCTGGTCTGGATCCGAACCGAAAACGCCTCCGGTCCTTTCAATCCTCATAAAGTCTGTCTGTGCATCGTTGCACACTATGATCGCACCAACCCATGCTATACTCCATGCGTTGACCAGACCGATACCCAAAGCTGGTGCCACCGCTCTAGCCTTTGTGTACAAGTTGCTGTAAGTTGCAAATCCGGCAATCCATGCAAATGCCAAGTATCGTCCTTTCTCGAGCCACGGGCGGTTCTGATGCGGGATGAGAAGATATATGATAACAAAAAGGGCGCCAAGGGTTCCCCATGGATACAAGAATGGTTGGTATTCCCCAGATGCGATAGCTTTATCGTATTGAGCGTGATAATGATCTAATAAGTCGTGGTGCGAGCGCGGCCAAGGATCCTCGGATTTAAACAACATGCTTCCAAGACGGAACGAGAAATGATACAGAAGTAAGAAACTCACAACATAGGAAAGAAAGCACCAAGACTAAGCACTGGAAACCACAAAACAAACCAGCGTGGCGCGAAAGCTCATGGCCTTTCAGATGACGCACTGCATCTTGCGTTCGCTAGCCCACGCGCTAGGCCCGAAGAGCAATGGCACTGGGCCGCGGGCGCCTGCAACACCAAACCTTTACCATCGTGATATTGCCGGACTGCAGCCCGCCACAAAGTGCGATTACCGTTCATCCTCACCCCAGTCCCTCTCTATCCGAGTTCCGAAGAGTGCGAAGTAAACCGTCAAGATGGTGAATATTACGGAGAAGATCAAAGAGTGGGATAGCGCCGAAGTTTTGATGTGGCCTTGCGCTAACGCCCCGCCAGGATTGAGGATGAGATGAGGAGGACGCAGAGTGAGTGGGACAGTGCTTTTTGATGGTGTTTGCGCTAACGAGATGCAGAGAATAAGGCTACGGGTATATACATGCGGATTTGATTGCATCGATACTGGATGCACTGTGTATCACGTGCTGACATTCAAGTACAGAATATCATCTTGGTCTACTGAAAGGGTACACTATCTATGCTCCTCTATATAGTCTCTATATGCTAATACCGCTACAGAAAACTTGCCCGTCTTCGCGCACAACTCCTCGAACCCGCTGCAGGTGCAGGTTCCGGTGGAGGACAAGGATTCGATGTATCGAAATCCGGAGATGCGCGTATTGCACTCGTTGGCTTCCCCTCGGTAGGAAAGTCGACCTTCCTCTCCAGAGTCACAAAGACAAAATCAGAAGCCGCATCCTACGCCTTCACCACGCTTACGGCGATTCCTGGTGTGCTTGAGTATGGTGGTGCTGAGATTCAGGTCTTGGATTTACCGGGTATCATTGAGGGCGCTGCGGAGGGCAAGGGACGAGGAAGACAGGTCATTAGTGCTGCGAAGACGAGTGATCTTGTCTGCATGATTCTTGATGCTACGAAGAAGGCGGAACAGAGGCGATTGTTGGAGGCTGAATTGGAAGCCGTGGGCATTAGATTGAACCGCGAGCCACCGTAAGTTCACCTCAATACTTCCCCGTACTTCAGAATCTCATCGACAACAGGAACATCTATCTCAAGCCCAAGAAGGCTGGCGGCATGAAGATCAACTTTCAGGTCCCGCCCAAGCATCTCGACGAGAAGATGGTCTACAACATTCTCAAAGACTACAAGATGCTCAACTGCGAAGTCCTCGTCCGAGACGAGAACGCAACAGTCGACGACTTCATCGACGTCATCATGAAGGACCACAGGAAATACATCAAGTGTCTCTACGTGTACAACAAGATCGATAGCATCGGTCTCCCGCACTTGGACGAATTAGCACGCGAGCCACACACCGTCGTCATGAGCTGTGAGCTCGATCTCGGTATTCAAGACGTCGTAGACAGGTGTTGGGAAGAGTTGAGATTGATCAGGGTGTACACCAAGAGGAAGGGCAACGACCCAGATTTCTCAGAGGCGCTCATTGTACGGCACGGAAGCACGATCGAAGACGTCTGCGACCAAGTTCATCGGACACTGAAGGAGACGTTCAAGCATGCGCTGGTTTGGGGCGCGAGTGCTAGGCACGTGCCGCAGAAGGTGGGCTTAGGGCATGTAGTGGCCGATGAGGATGTTGTCAGCATTGTGGCAAAGTAATTGTGTTGTCGAGGCCTGGTATAACATAGAGACGAATGAGCATCAGCTGTATACGACTCACAAGAGGGTCTGCCGAGACCGCCTAGACTCAAATCTTCCATGCCACCAATAAATGATTCTCACTACCAGTCAAGACAACGCACGCCACAAAACGCGCAATCACGGTTTGTAAGCGCAAGAGTGGCGTGTCAACCGTGCTGTCACCGTCCGAGCATGTTCCGAGGATCGGATGAGAAGATCTGATAAGGGGCAGCGTTTGTAGGGCTGTCAGTCCACTTCCGGAACCAGCGGATGCGTCGATTCCGGCGCGCGAGATTGTGATGCGTAGTCACGTGAGCGTCTCTAGTCGGCCGTCTTGACGCTTGATTGGCACAACGTCGACGGTTGAGGAACCAAAACAGTTAACATGGACCCTGGCGACATTTTCCTCAGGGACGCTTGTACTCGGGGCGCCGAAAACTTATCGCCGATAAATGGAAGCGTTGCCGTTATGACTACCTACTTGAACGAGAGCATTCGCCTCCCTACATTCGTTTATACTCTATCCTAGATACTCTGCTCTCTTTGCATTGCTATTATTGCCTGTCTCCTTTTGTGACGTGTACCTGCATTGTGTGCGCCCGTTGGTCCTCAAACATCACGAATCGCAGGCCTTCCGTACCTGAATCCGCCGATCGCCGAGGCGTCTCCTCGCCCCAGCCAGAACAGCCATGGACGTCGTCCTCGAACTAGCAGACACCTTTCTCTTCGATCCTCTCTACGCAACCCTCCTTCCCGCTTCCACACCCTCTTTCGTCGGCAATGCAACGGTTTCAAGCATTAGAGAGGAGCCCACGGGCTTTGCTCTTCCGCACGCGACCTGGCAGTACGAGCCCTCGACGCAATTCTTCTCTGTCGAGCCCTCCAAGTATGCCTACATGAGCCAATGGACACGCGACGACTGGCGGCGACAGGCCGTGTCCTTGTACCTCATCACATGGTATGCGCTGCCCCAGCCTTCTGCGCAATACTCCTCTAACAACTCTCCAGGCTCTTTGGTGTCCTAGTATACTACGTCTTCGCCGGCGCCTCGTACTTCCTCGTCTTCGACAAGTCGACCTTCAACCACCCGCGCTACCTCAAGAACCAGATCAAGCAGGAGATGAAGCAGGCCAACATCGCCTTCCCCATCATGGCCATCTTCACCGTGCCCTGGTTCCTGCTCGAAGTGCGCGGCTACTCCAAGCTATACGACACGGTAGACCAAGGCCCAGGTCTCTGGTACAACTACCTACAGTTCCCGCTCTTCTTCCTCTTCACCGACTCGGCCATCTACTGGATCCACCGCGGTCTGCACCACCCCCGCGTTTACAAGCACGTCCACAAGCCGCACCACAAGTGGATCATGCCCACGCCCTTCGCCTCGCACGCGTTCCACCCCGCCGACGGCTACGCCCAGGGCCTTCCCTACCACATCTTCCCCTTCCTGTTCCCACTTTCGAAATTCGCATACGTCTTCCTCTTCGTCTTCGTCAACATCTGGACCGTCCTGATCCACGACGGCGAATACGCGCACAACTCGCCCATCATCAACGGTGCTGCTTGCCATACCATGCACCACCTATACTTCAACTACAACTATGGTCAATACACGACGCTGTGGGACCGTCTTGGTGGAAGCTACAGAAAGCCCAACGACGAGCTCTTCCAGAAGGAACTCAAGATGTGCCAAAGCGAGTGGAAGAAGCAAGCCGAGGCTGTTGATAAGATGGTCGAGGAAGTCGAGGGTGACGAGAACGATCGTACATATGCTTCTGAGACGAAGAAGCTGCGCTAGACGTTCTTCCTGACTGCATGATACTGCAGGTCAGGAAGATTGAGATGCCGTTACGATATGGGTGGGGTTAAGGTGTATACATGCTTGTGCGATTGCAGGCCGATCGTCATCAGTTACCTCTTTCTGCGTGTACATACCATTCTTTGCGTTCGCTGCATCAAAAGTTTGAGTATAGCAGTCTCGCTTTGCAGAGCAAAGTCCTTATTTGTAATATCGTAGAACTTAGGGAGAAAGAGTCGCCTCTTGGAAGATTAATAGTAATATCGTCGACATGCAGCTTTCAGGCCCGCTGATCTGAGTTACTCGTAGTAGTGTGCTTATAAACACAGTTCGTCTTTGACATGTTGGTAAGCTTGACCCCTCGTTGTAGGAAGCGGGGTATGCATCTTAGCACTTGGCTGTGCTCAGCACGCCCTACGAGTACATGTTTGTGGGTTGTGTACACGATCTGATAGCACGCTGACTCTGTTTATCTCTGGAGTGATAAATATATAGTTTCTCCAAATATTAAATTGTTAAAGGACATCTTCCAGGCGCCGATTGTGTGGAATTTGGATACAAAGCCTTATCAACTTATCGAATCCAAGAAAGAGATACAAGAAACGATATCATATCACTAAACTGTCAGTACAAATACATATCATCCCTATCCAACATGTCTACACATACTAACACCCCCTCCAGCCCCAGCATTCCCACTCCACACCCTCACCCTCCACCATCACCACCACCAAAATGTCCACCCCTCCACCCAACCCCCCCTCCCCCATGATCCACATAACAACCGTCCACGCCGAAGGCGAAATCGGCGACGTAATAACCTCCGGCATCCCGGACCCCACGCACCTCCCTTCCATGTACGCCAAACTCCAATACTTCCTCCACAACGCAGACCACTACCGGCAACGCCTCATGCAAGAGCCACTCGGCCGCGTCTCGCAATGCATGAACCTGCTGCTCGCCCCCTGCGACCCCTCCGCTGACGCCGGTTTCCTCATTCTGGAGAGCGACGAGTATGCGCCTATGAGCGGGAGTAATACCATTTGCGTTACCACTGTGTTGTTGGAGAGCGGGATGCTGGAGATGAAAGAGCCGGTTAGTAGGGTGGTGTTGGATACGGC